CAAGCTCTCCAGACTCCCTATTTGATTCCTGGGTGCTTTTTAGGCATCGCTAACTTAGACCATTTGGGAAATTCAGCTGTCTGGTGTCTGGGGACCTCAGTTTCCATTATTTTTGACATCTTAACCATTTGACCTTGCAAAGAAGTCAATAGTCTGCTATTCTTCTATGACCCTAGAATGTATATCGAGTGGGACATGGGGTGCAGGTGGGCTGAGACAGTGGCAACACAGAGGGCAGAAGGACTCCAGGTATTGCACCCAAACTAGTCCCAGCTCTGCCTCTGGGAGTTTTGTCAAGCCACTTCCCTTTTAGGGCTGCAGTCTCTCTTGCTGTAGAATTCTATGATCTATGAGGTTTACACTAATAGCTCTTAGGAGGTAAATTTGATTTGGAAGCCTGTTCCACCTTAAATTGTGCATGTAAGTATGAACTTTCAGTTCTTACATATTGATTTTGAATCTGATTTCAGACTCAACACTAGGTTTCCAGGGAAAAGAGCTAATTAGTAAATTGATGGGATGCTTCCAACGGAGCAGGCCTGCTGTGTTTTTAGAACCAGCAGGTGCTGAGAGAAGTTCAAATGGCACCAACAGGGTTGGATAATTGAGAGGATGTCAATATGGTAGTCTATGATACAGGGTTTAACTAGCTTCCTGTGACTTGCCTCTGGTTGGGGGGGAGACTGTGGTGTCATTCATGAATGAGCACCCCAAACCAGATCACAGGCTCCCAGTGCAAGCAAGTCAGGAGCAGACCTTTTGGGTGAGTGAGGTTTCGAGGCAGCTGTCAAGTGGACTGTGGGAGGTACCTGGTTTAGAGAAATAAAAAGAGGACAGCAAAATGCAGCTTCAGTGAACAAAATGTGTAGAGTAGTGAAGGACCCAGATCAAACACACACAACCTGCACTATCTTCATCTGGTGGAACTAGGCTTGAATGAACTGAATAGAGAGAGGAAATGGAGACTGTGTATTTGTGTGCATGCATGTATTTGTGTGTGCATTCAGGATTAACTGGATGGTTCACTGCAGTTAATTTTACTGCTTGTTAAGTTTACTGCTTGTCTGCATTATCCCCCAGTAGGACTAGACTTGATGAAGTTGAGAGGGGAATTCCTTATGGCAGTTTTCTTCTCTGCAGGCTTTCCCACAAAGCACCAAGGGCCATGTACCTTCTGGGGCCCCTCAGCAACCCAGAATTTTCTTCCCTGTAAGGGGCTGCTGGGCCTGTTTTATCAACCTGCTAAAGCAGATGAAAGATGGCTGCAGAGCATGTGGTCATCACATAGAAGTAAGCAACAAGGGATAAAGAAGTTTAGTCCTAGACTGAGTGTGGTGGCTCAGGCCTGCAATACCAGCACTTTGGGAGGCCAAGGTGGGTGGATCACTTGAAGTCAGGAGTTCAAGATCAGCCTGGCCAACATGGTGAAATCCTGTCTCTACTAAAGATACAAAATTAGCCGGGCGTGGTGGTGTGAGTAATTCCAGCTACTCTGGTGGCTGAGGCAGGAGAATTGCTTGAACCCCCATGGGAGGTGGAGGCTGCAGTGAGCCGGGATCATTGTGTAACTGCACTCCAGCCTGGGGGACAGAGCGAGACTCTATCTTATTAAAAACAAAACAAAACAAAACAAAACCCAGAGGTTTAGCCCTAGTTCTGCCACTTGCTACCAAAGTGACCTTCAGCAGGGTAGCCTCTCCAGCTTCTATGTCCTGCATTATAAAACAGGGAGACGGACTGAATAATTAACACATGTGAAGTGCTTAGCACAGTGCTGGTACATAGGTGCTCAATAAATATTACTTATTGTAATTACGATTAGGATGAAATGCATTGTGTCAACAAATTCATCAAGATAATTTCCCTTTTATCAAAGCGAGGCCAAAATTGGAGTGCTATCAGAATTCCCAAAATGCAGAGTGATAAACTCAGGTCAGGAGAAATAAACACACACCAAGTATTCCAGATACTGAGGAAGAGAAATGGAAGTTCCTGCCCTTCAAGGATTTAGGGTTCATAATGTTCATGTTAATGAACATTATGAAGAACTTGAACAGGAACATTTAGACAAGAACGGCCTGAAGAAGCTAACTTCATTCCCAATGGCTTGTCTGGATGGAGACTGACAAGGTCAAGAGCTGGCAGAGCTTCCTGATGTCACAGCCCCCAGCCCCTCTGCCTGAGCTTGGCCCATCCTCCAGCCTCAGTTTCCCTGGCTGGAGTAATAACCACCAGGGCCATGGAACATCTCGAAAAGAATCCAGGTGTGGAGCCAGTCCTCTGGGTGGGTTCCAAACCCAGGTGTCCCACTTACTATCTGTGTAGCTTCCAGCAGTTCCTTCACCTGTCTGCATCTATTTTCTCACCTGGGTGATTAGGAAATCATGTATGTGATGATAAATAAGATGATGTAGGTGAATATGTCCTGCACAGGGGCTGGCCCCCTGACAGAGTCCCTCCCTCCCCCAAGCTGCCATCCCACCATGAGGCAAAATGTATGCCTAGAAGGGTAGTGCAGACACCAATAGAGGTGACTGTGCCTGAAAGCGCTGTGGGAACTCCCTGCTCCTGGCAGTTGGAGATGAAATCTGAAAGGTCCCTGTTAACCCTCCTTCAGGCCAGTGGGATGACCACTGGGGTGGGGCAGTCCTGCTCCACTGGTGGGAACAAATGGGGCTACCAGGTGGGATCTAACCAGGCTGGACAAAAGGAAGCAGTGTGACCAAGCCATCTGTCTACACAGGAAAACCAGAACCACAATAAGCTGTGTTAGTCTTAAGTCAGCCTAAGTGGGTCTTTCATGTTGTTACTGGGTCAACTCTTGTTCCTTTTAAGCAATTTTTGCTACGGTATAGACCCGGAGGCTCCCATCTCAAACCTCACAAGAGTTTTGCAAGATTATTTTGGAAGGCCTGGGGATAGCTCTTGTGGACCCTTCTACAACATTTCCCTTTCATCTTTCTCCTTGTTTCACCATAGTGTGAGAATTTAACAAGAAAAAGTTGCTGAAGGAGAAGGATGGGATAAGGAGAGACAGAGAGAAGGGATCAGAGCTCCAGGTAGGAGTCAGAGTCCAAGGAATCAGGTTGGAGCTGCGGGACCTTGGCACAATGCAGGCAAACTAGAAAATGAAGATGTATTTGATGGTCCCAAAGGTGACTCCAGTTTTTGCCAGCAGGTGCCCAGGACAAAGGTACCAAGTCACCTCATACATCAGCCCATGAATGTCAAGTCAAAAGGAAAAGGCACAGGAGTTTCTCTGGGGTGGCCTTCCTTCCAGCCCATATTCCCATAGGCCACCCTGATACCCTATCTCAACCAATTTTCATTAAGTCCTAACAGATTCTAGGCTGTGTCACAGGACTCTGAGGCACCCACCCCACCAGCTCAAACTCTTGAGAGGAAAGCAAAGGCCAAGATTTCCTATGAGCAACACATCTCTATGTTTAAGGAGCTGCTGGGGGCAGCAGGTGCTCCTGTCTGCTGTGACCTCGTGACTGAGTGATCTGAAAACTGTGCTGAGTCTTCTTCAACTCCCCTGGGTGTAGGTGCCATGCATCTCAAGACTAAAGAAAGCTTTAAAAAAAAATACATTTTTAATGGAACCCAGTAGCATCATTGCATAGATCCTGGCCATCAAATTTTGCCTTCAGTGAGGTCAAAGCAAAACCCCATCGTTTCTTGGAAGGGCAATTGCAGTGATTGTGGTCTGTCACAGAAGAAGCAGGTCTCAGAACCACTGATCCTGACCAAAGACACAGCCAGAAATAAGAGCAGGGTAGACCCACATAACTCTTTTCCCGTAAGCAAGGACATGACCATGGGAAAATTTATTTTCATCATTCCTTGTTTCACACTTGGCATTTGAGCTTCATGGATGGAGGAAAGAAGAGAAGGTGATGGACTTGAGAAAACACACAGCTTCATGAAGACCAGGGCCAGGAAACAAAAAGTTTTGATAAACAGGAGACAGCAAAGATAACAAAGGAACAGAAGAATCGGAAGTTAAGAAAGTTTAAAAAGGAGAAAGACATGTGAAAATTGGGAAGTTAGCTCTTAAGATAAGACAGAGAAGCCAGCTGACATAGGGCAGTTGATAACGAGTACTGATAAAGTGAAACTGCTACTTCCATAAAAAAAAATTCCCGCCTAGCTCAGTGGCATGTGCCTATAGGCCCAACTACTCAGGAGGCTAAGGCAGGAGGATTGCTTGAGCCCAGGAGTTTGAGACCAGCGTGGGCAACATAGTGAGACCCCTCATCTCTTAAAAAAAACATTCTGAATCAAATTGTAGGTCTCATTCAGTTTTTGAGAAATCTTCCAAAGGAGAAGTCACTATATCAAAAAGACGCCTAAGGTGCATGTTTATCATAGCACAATTCACAATTGCAAAGATACAGAATCCCCCTAAGTACCTATCAACTGATGAGTGGATAAAGAAAACATGGTAAATATACACCATGAAATACTACTCAGTTGTACAAAAAGAATGCAATAATGTCTTTTGCAGCAACTTGGATTGAATTAGAGGCCATTACCCTAAGGAAAGTAACTCAGGAACGAAAAACCAAATACCACATGTTCTCACTCATAAATGGGAGCTAAGTTTTGGGTACACAGAAGCATACAGAGTGGTGTAATGAACACTGGAGACTCAGAAGGGGAGAAGGTGGGAGGAGCATGAGGGATGAAAAATTACCTATTGGGTATGATACAAACTATTCAGCTGATGGGTACAATAAAAGCCCAGACTTAACCACTATACAAGTCATCCATGTAACCAAAAACCACTTGTACCCCTAAAGCTGTTGAAATAAAACAATTATTTTTAATTTTAAAAGTTCCATGCTCTGGAAATTCTAGGACAGGAGAGCCAATCAGGCACTGTTCAGAGCAAACGAAGAGCACTCACTTGCTAACTATACCCTCTCCCTGCTGTCCCCTGTGCCCCTTGGCTGGCCAGGGACCTTACCAACAGAGCTGGACAGCACCCCCTTCCTCTCCCAGCTCCCCTTATCACATCAATCAAAACTTACCCTGTGTCTCATTTTTTTAATGAAATAACCTTGGGCTATAATGGGTTAATTAGTTAATCAAATCTATTCTAATTCACTAATTGGCTCATATGTCATCTGTTTGAGAAAATCGTATAAATAGCCACTTCTTGGCTGTTTGCAACTGCTGAGTCATTTAGTATCTCAGGACCTCCATTTTCTTACATTAAAATAACGGTGGGGGGGAATTAATGTCTAAGAAAGGGGTGATATTTGAGTTGAGTCTTGGCGTAAAATGGAATGGAAGAGCTGCAGCGTGCTATTTTTAAGATAAGGCAAAAGAGGAGAGAGCGTGTTTAAAGGAAATGAATGTAGCAGCAAAATCGCCTGATAGACTTCTAGCTGAGCATAATTATTGCTGCATCCTCAAGGGATAAAAAAGAGCCATGCAAAATGTCCCAGAGGGGCTTGGACTTCCTGTTATGTTTATTAATCATCTTGATGAAAATGGAAAGTCTACATTGATTAAATTCACTAATGATCCTAAACTGAGCGAGGAGTAAATTCCAGAAAGGATGGATTTATAAGGTGAGTAATAATATTAATCAGCTCATCTTCATGAAAAGGGTGGCAGTAAATGAAATGGGATTTGCTATAGATAATGGCAACGAGGTACACCTGGGGGGAAACGATAATGAGTCCAGATTCAAACTAGGAAGGTATTATTTAGGAAATAATAATGGTGAGAGAGCTCTAAAGTGGAGAGTGAATAATAAATTAAAAACAAGCTTAAAATAAGCGCTCATTATGGATCACAATTTCACTCTCAGCACTTTTGCAGTGGGGTGGTGCAGAGAAGGTGAACGTGAATGGCAGAGATGGAAGCAGGTTTGTAGTGCAGCACTTATATTTTACTGGTGAGGATGCTGAGGCCCAGAGAGGTTAGGTATAGATCGACCAGGTCAGGGTGGAAAAACCCTGTCACGCTGGTCACCACTCTGTCCCCTGCGGTGGTGGCAGGAGATCACGATTCCTTCTGACAATCTAAATTTAGCCTCAGAATCCTCAATGCTGCACTCTAAGCAGTCTCTGATTACTTTGCTCACAAAATATTATCTCGTGTCATCTCTAGCTTACATCATAGAGCTAGACGTTGGCAGAGCTGTGGCTAAAAACCTAGATGTCCTGAATGTCTAGTGCTTCTATTTCACCCTGTAGGTTCTAAATTCTCAGCAGGCAACATTGACTATAACTTCAAAAGTCAAAGACTCAGAAAGCATAACTCACTTCTTATCCAGGATTCTGACCTTGGTGTCCATCATCTTGGTTTAAGTTTCCTTAGACAGCATTTTAAAATCTTGCAAATTGAATATATATAGAGAGAGGTGTTGGGAAGACACTTAGAAATAGCAATAGTTTTGAGCCAGTGAGTTTTGTGCCCCTGGGGAGTCATAGAAAGCATTTTTAAAAAGAAGTCTATTGAATTCAAGTAACAAAAATTAAACTTCCACCTTAGGCATTTGACAAAATTAATGACCTTGTTAAAAATTCCCTGAGACTGATGAATGCTTCTCATATTTGTTTCCCTCCTGGGGAACAGAGTGAATTTTCCCTGTGCAAATGGAGCCATGTTGAGGAAAGTCCTGTGTGTGCTGGGTCAGTTTAGTTAGGTGAGGGTGTCAACCTAAGGAGGAGGGGAGGGAGGGGAAGATTGGTCTCAACAGAATTGTGAAGCAGGTGAGTTTGGCCCATTCTCACTTCCTTTTAGTGTCCTTTCAGTTCCCTCTCCCCAGGAAGGCTCATGATGCTCCTGTAAGTCTCTCTGATTGATGCGACGGCTACTCCTCTAAGGCTGAGCTGGTTGTGTGTTGCACAACTTTAGGGGACGCTATTCTCCTTTGGGAACTCGCTAACTTAGCATGACCAGCCCCCTGGCAGATTCAGAACAGTTCTCCATTTATTAGGCCTTTCCTTATCTTTCCCAGTCTTCAATGGAAACCTATCTTCTATGTGTCAGATCAGAGTCATTTCCACATGGGCTAATGGGTCACTGCCCAAGACTTTCCTGAAGACCCACCCCATAGCTTAAGCAAATGAATTAAATAGTAGAACATTTTGGCATGTGCCTGAAGGAAATCTCGCCCATGTATACTCTTCCAATGGTTAATGAATACCTCATAGGATTCATGAGAGATAGCATCCACATGCTTGATCACCCATAATCACAAAGGTTGGCTACCAAGATCTTTTTCTCTTTTTTTTTGTTTTGTTTTGTTTTGTTTTGTTTGTGATGGAGAGTCTTGCTCTGTTGCCCAGGCTGGAGTGCAGTGGCGTGATCTTGGCTCACTGCAACCTCCGCCTCCTGGGTTCAAGTGATTCTTCTGCCTCCCGAGTAGCTGGGATTACAGGTGCACACCACCATGCCCAGCTAATTTTTTGTATTTTTAGTAGAGACAGGGTTTCACCATGTTAGCCAGGATGGTGTTGATCTCCTGACCTCATGATCCGCCCTTCTCGGCCTCCCAAAGTGCTGGGATTACAGGCGTGAGACACCACACCCATCCCCTAGATCTCTTAAATAAGACTTTAATCTACTCAGCACTTTAAAGCTTGCAGAATCCTGTCCCACCATGCCAGAGTGTCCAGAGATCAAGTCAGTTAATCTGGGGTCAGAGCCCCATCCCTGCCACTTGTTGGCCATGCAGAACAGAGTTAAGCCAATCATCTAAACTTTCCAAACAAGTTTTTTGATAGGACTAAGATAATGTATTTACCATAGTGCTTGGCAATAAATAAGTAAATAAATAAATAAATAAATAAAAATTTAAAAACACATGTAATCTGCTATCCCTGCAGTTGTTTTTATTTTAGATACCCTGTGGGGCAGGAAAGCTGGATGTTATCTCCTTTATCTTGAGAACCCTAGCAAACAGAGAGAAATGATTTGTCTGGCGATACACAATCAATCCTAGTCAAGGCTGAATGTTAAACCTGGGCTTTCTATGTAAGGCTCCAGTCTTCTTCCCATCATCTCATGCTCTTATAGACCTAGTGCAACAGTTGACGACATGTGTGTGCCTCCCCAGGCTGCATGGTTTATCATACACATGAAACACACTGGTTGCTTTTTAACTGTTTCCTTCTCTCATACAATGCCTATGCTGACTTGCTGGAAACACCCGGGTAATACCCAGGGTATGAATTTTCTTTTCTTTTCTTTTCTTTTTTTTTGAGACGGAGTCTCGCTCAGGCTGGAGTGCAGTGGCATGATGGGCTCACTGCAAGCTCCGCCCCCTGGGTTCACACCATTCTTCTGCCTCAGCCTCCTGAATTTCTGGGACTATAGGCGCCCGCCACCGCGCCCGCCACCACGCCCAGCTAATTTTTTTTTTTAGTAGAGACGGGTGTCACAGTATTACTGAGGATGGTCTCAATCTTCTGACCTCATGATCTGCCCACCTCGGCCTCCCAAAGTGCTGGGATTACAGGCGTGAGCCATCGCACCCGGCCAACACAGGGTATGAATTTTCTGTCTTCAAGGTGCAAGTCCACATGTCCTGGGTGTGGAATTGACATCTGTGTCAGGGTAAGACTGGAAATGTGCCCCTTCATCCATAGCTGCCATTGGGTATATTATTATCCTTCACGGATCTCACTGACAGAGAAGGTGCCCATCTTACTAGCCAAGCAAACTAGTCCATTTGGTCCTAACATAAACAGTTGCAGAGCTAACACAGGAGCCCGGTGATGCATGGACCTTTTGATACTCTATATCTGTTAGGCTGAAGGCTCAGGGACAGATCCAGATTTTGTGGGCCCCTGTAGATTATTCAATTTTGGAATCTTCTTTTTTTAAAAAAAGTATAAAGTCAAAATTAGATACGAGAAAATTACAGAGATGAAGAACAGACTAGTCGTTGCCAGGGTTCAGGGATAGAAGAGAGGAGAGAGAGATGGGTGTGCTTATAAAAGGGTAACAGGTGATGATGAAACTGCTCTGTATTTGACTGTGGTGATGGGTACATGAATTTAAACATGTGCTAAAATTGCATAGAACCAAACACACATACAAATGAGGACATACGGCTGGGCACAGTGGCTCATGCCTGTAATCCCAGCACTTTGGGAGGCTGAGGCCACTGGATCACCTGAAGTCAGGAGTTTGAGACCAGCCTGACCAATGTGGTGAAACCCTGTGCCTACTAAAAATACGAAAATTAGCCAGGTGTGATGGCATGTGCCTGTAGTCCCAGCTACACGGGAGGCTGAGACAGGAGAATCGCTTGAACCCAGGAGGCAGAGGTTGCAGTGAGCTGAGATTGCGCCACTGCACTCCCACCTGGGTGACAGAGCAAGACTCTGTCCAAAAAGAAACAAACAAATGAGGACATATAAAATTGATGAAATCAGTAAGATCTGGATTACCAACACCAATATTCTATTCCACTATTGTACTATAGTTCTATAAGATGTTACCCTTGAGGAAAACTGGATGAAAGAGACACAGGATCTCTATTATTTCTTCCCACAGCATGTGAGTCTAATTATTTCAAAATAAAAAGTTTAATTTAAAACATGGATAGAACTGGAAACAAGATTTGGGGAAAAAAAAATAGGCACCGGGTCTAGGAGGGTTGGTGCTAATGACAAGGTTGGACACTTAAACTTCACTTGGCTTCATTTCCTGATTGGAAAGGCAGTAGACCGATAGAAAATGAGTCACAATAGAGATATGAAACCATTTTAAGACCCACAAATGAAAGTGTACACTTCTGGGATTACCTTCTTTGATCACAAGGAAGGCTGCCAATGTAAAATAAACATAAGCTACTTACCCACATAAATAGGTTGGCTCCACTCACTCCAGAGCCCCGCCTCTCTGCACATGGAGCTCACTGCTGCTCTCACTTGAACATCATACTTAGAAAGATCATCAATTATTGAGATGAATGCATTGGTCATCATTTTTTCTATCTAAGTGGGGAAAAATAGCATTATAAGAATCTCTAAACACCTAATTTGGTTCTGCCAATTATCAGAATGGGAGGTCCTATATAGGTCCTGTGACTCACTGTTCAGCAAGCCATTTAAAATCAACAGGGCACATATCAATTCGTTTATACTAGGCGCTTCAGTGTTGCTGTGTTGGCAGTCACCCTTCAGGAAAACGCTATCTTGTAACCCAAATATATGAAATGGTCAACAGTCAAGATCCAGGTGATCCTATCCAGGCCCAGCAGACGTTTCCAGACTGAAAGACTGGAGTAGCCTATCCCAGGATGCATTATTCCCTCACCTTGTCCCTTCATAATCTATGGTCACATTACTAAATAATATCACAAGAACACTAGATTGTCTCGTGTTGAAGCAGTTTTCTCATGAATGAGCCCTTCTTCCTTTTCTTTTTGCTGATCACGGTCGCCACCATCCAGCTAGTCCCCTGTGCCAGAGATGTGTTCCTGACACCTGTATCTTGAATACCCCCTGGAGGTGTTTCTCCCTTTTTCACTCCAGCCCTGTGTCCATTGCCTATTTTAGCTCTTATTATCTTTTGCTTGGACTGTTGCAGTAGCCACTAACTTATATCCATATGTCCATGTGGCCCCTCCCCACTCACATCCGGTTTTCACGCTGCTACCAAAATTCTTCTTCTACTCTGCAAATGTGGACATATTTCTCTCTTGTGTGAAATTCTTCAGTGGCATCCATTGCCCACAGTCATGGTTTTTAACACAGAAGCCATTTCTTTATTTTAAAAAAAAAATCTTATAGAGCCACTCTGGGAGAAGTCACAGTGTCAGATACGGAGTCATGAGTTCAGTGTTGGTCTTATATCCAGGCATCCAGGCAGACTGAATTACTTGCCACTTGACTGAAAGAACCACACTCTCTCAAGCATAAAGTTACTCCTTTTCCTAGACTGGTGCAGGTCAGGAACTATGTATTACTGGCCTGTGATGGGCTAAATACAGATAAAATTATGACTACAATTTGGAAGTTTTGGTAGCAATTTGACATCGCCATGACATCCAAACACATGATCAGTGAACTGATACTTTACATGTCTTTGGCTATATTTAATTTTTGCTTGCAAATCATTTTTATGTATTTGACAAAAGCACCAATCGATGGTAGATTAGATATTATAAAAACACACGCACTCACAGTCCTTCAGTGTAAGTATTTTGGGAAGCTCTGGCTAAGAAAGTCCTTCTCATGTTTTCTCACCAGACCAGTTTCTCTTCATCCTTGCAGATTCCGTTCAATTCCTCTCTGCATAGCAGACTCTGTGCCCACACCCCCATCTCTAGCTGCACCAAGGCTGGGCAAATATGTCACAAGATTGGGTCACTCCATGGCAGAAACAGTCTTATTTCTCACAAAGAAGCCAATTTGTAAATATTTGTTGAATCTAATGGAATTGGCTTTGTCTACTCTCTATAAGACATGAGTTGGAATCCTGTTTTTTTTTCCTAGCTTTGTGACTGTGGGAGAGTTACTTCATCTCTTTTGCCTCACTTTCCTATAAAATGGGAATGATAATTACATCATAGAATTATTGTGAGGGTGGAATATACGCATAATAAAGTTTGACACATAATTGATGCTCAAGAAATGTTGATTGACTTTCTTCTCAGTTCCTTTCCCTTTGAAATTTTTGTCTATTGGTACTAATGAGTTTTTTTAAATTGTGGTAAAATACATATAATGAAATTTACCATCTTAATCCCTTTTAAGTGTACAGCTTTGCGATATTAAATACTTCCATATTGCCGTGTCACCAATGTTCAATAGTCTGTTAATCTTGCAAAAGTGAAACTCTGTACCCAGTAAACAATAGCTCTCCATCCGCCCTCCAACCAATTCCTGGTAACCACCATACTGCTCTGTTTCTAAGAATTTTACTATTTAACCTCCGAAAGTAGAATCAGACAGTATCTGTCCTTTTGTGACTGACTTATTTTGCTTAGCGTAATGTCCTCAAGGCTCCTCCGTGATGCAGCGTGTGTCAGAATTTCCTTTCTTTCAATGCTGGGTAATATCCTATTGTATGTATATGCTGCATTTTGCTCATCCATTCATTTAATGGGCGCATGGGTTGCTTCCAGCTTTTGGCTGTTGTAAATAATGCTGCTATGGACATGGGTGTGCAAACATTTCTTTGAATCCTTGTTTTCAATTCTTTTGTATATATAACCAGAAATGGAAGTGTTGGATCATATGGGAATTCTATTTCTAATTTTTTGAGAATTCATCATACCGTTTTTATAGTAGCTGCATCACTTTAGATTTTTTGTTTGTTTGTTTTTTTGTTTTTTTTTGAGATGAAGTATCGCTCTGTCCCCCAGGTTGGAGTGCAGTGGCACAATCTCGGCTTACTGTAACCTCCGCCTCCCTGGTTGAAGCGATTCTCCTGCCTCAGCCCCCACCCCCAAGTAGCTGGGATTATAGGCATGCGCCATCATGTTGGCTAATTTTTGTGTTTTTAGTAGAGATGGGGTTTCACCATGTTGGCCAGGCTGGTCTTGAACTCCTCATCTCAGGTGATCCACCCACAGTGGCCTCCCAAAGTGCTAGGATTACAGGCATGAGTCACTGCACCCATCTATCATTTTAGATTTTAACCAACACTAGTACCAATGAGTCTATTCCTAATCCTTTGTATTAGTTTCAACCAAAAGTATGTTCTTTCAAAACAAAAGGCCAGTAAGATTCGGTTTATACCTATAATACCTGGGTAGATGTAAGTTAACTTTGACCTTGTTAGTACCAAGCTGTAACTTGGTTGCAGTCACTGAAGATAATTTTTTAAATGTTTCTAAAATAAATGTCTGTCATCAAATATTGGAATGATCTGAGTAATTACCTGCAAATATCCGTTCCTTGCATTGTGTATTTTTACTTCATAATCAAAGCAATGGATTGGAAAGGCAGACACTGGTTTCTCCCATTGGATAGAGAGACGAGTTCCTTCAATCTCTGCTGTGACATTCAGTGGCGGATTTATTTGATCTAAGGGAATGAAAGATCAGTGATTTTTTTTTTTTTTTTAGAATCAGTGATCAGAGCTGATAACTCCAATCCACCCACACTTCTCAAGGCATTTCTAACATATGCTTTTTTCAAATATTTACCATCAGGTCTTAATCAACTGATCTCCAAGCCACAGGAAGCCAGTGGCCTCCCATAATACTCTTGTCTAATAGTGCTGAAGAAGAAGAGACCCTTTCTGGAAGCTACAAGGATTACTACTCCAAATGGAGTCAAATGCTTGAATCTCTTCCCCACTCAGCTCATTGCAAGACTCACCCACCATCTCCCTTTACTACTCAAGTTGTACCAGGCCCAGAATAAACCTGACCACTGAGAGAACATTTCCCTGGACCTTCCACCAAGCCTTGCCTCTTCCCAGTAGGTATGTGGCCTTGAGCAAATCAGTTCCCCTTTCTGAGATTCAGTTTTCAATTTTAATTTCATTTTGTTTACTGCATCTTTTGTTTTTTGTTTGTTTGGGGGATGGAGCAGGAAGCTTCAGTTGTCTTTTGCATCAAAAAAGAATGGATTGGGGCTGGGCTTGGTGGCTTACACCTGTAATCCCAGCACTTTGGGAGGCTGAGGCAGGCGGATCACGAGGTCGGGAGATCGAAACCATCCTGGCTAACACGGTGAAACGCCGACTCTACTAAAAATACAAAAAAACTAGCTGGGCGTGGTGGCAGGCGCCTGTAGTCCCAGCTACTCGGGAGGCTGAGGCAGGAAAACGGCATGAGTCTGGGAGGCGGAGATTGCAGTGAGCCGATATCATGCCACTGCACTCCAACCTGGGGGAGAGAGTGAGACTCTGTCTCAAAAGTAAAAAAATTACAAAAAAAAGAAGAATGGATTGGTCTTCACTTAGGACTCTAATGTCCTTTCCCCTGAGATCTCACTTGATTGTCTTATGGTCCCGTGAGGTGAGGGGAAAATGAATTCTTAATGAGTGTCCTTGTCTTAGGTAATGTGACTTAGATCTCACAATTAATAGGGACAAGCTAAGAGTGGGGTCGACTGGCTTCAGAGCCTCCTGTTCCCTAAGGAGAAAATTCTTAACCAAGAAAGTACTTATTTATTTTAGTAATCCTAGGAATTAGCCTCAATAAAATGAAAATCATAAAAGAAAATGAATTCCTGTGGTCTGTACTAGATCATATCCATTTTCATATTAATATCATTGTTTCCTAGGTCTTCCTCAGCATCTTTTATTGCCTATTTTCATGAAAGTGACATTTTTAGTTCACGTAAGAAATATACTACTGGAGAGAATTGCATAACCTCTTTAGTAAGGGCTATGATTCTTGACAGAAAGTTATATATTGGAAAATAGATATGTCACAGCCAAATCATACTCTCTAAATAATATTGTAGTGTATTTATTAAACCTTTATGCCAGGCACTGTTCTAAGCACTTTATCATTAGTAACACAATTCTCAGGAAAACCACACAGGAAGTATTGATTCCTCTCCATTGTTTCAGATAAGAAGATTAGGCACAAAGGAATGATCAGCTTGTCCGAGGTCACTCAGTCAGCGGTGGAGCCAGGATCCAAATCCAGGCAGTCTGGCCCCACAGCCCATAATAACCACCCACCATTGAAATCTGGAATCTCCATAACTAAGTATGCCATGTGAGAGCGCCTGGTGAGTTTCATGAATAGAACTATCTGGGATGAGGGAGAGTGTCTTCTCTATTGAGAACTGAGCAGATGAAACCATGAATATAATTTCTAGAGCTGAGAATTGCACACTGAGAGATATTTGAGCTGCAAAACTTCCAGGAGATGGGCCAGAACAGTGAGAAATGCAGAGAGAGAGATATTAGCCTGGAGAAGAAGGGCTTCTGGATGGGAAACCTGCTGCCTGTGAACAGCTAAGAGAGGCCATTCGTTAGGGAAAGGACTCAAACCGGCTGGGGTGGCACTAGTCCATCACAGGACCCAAGGGCAGAAATTTCACAAAACCTGTCAGAACTCATGAAAGATTAAATGGTCTCTTTTAAGCAGCTAGTTCACTTTTCCTGGTGCAGTGATTCTCAACTGGGGGAAATTTTACCCCCTGAGGGGCATTTGGCAAAGTCTGAGACTTTTTAAAAAATCACAGCTCAGGGGCAGAGGGGCATACTACTGGCATCTAGTGTGTAGAGGCCCCTCTGCTTCTAAATATCCTGCAATGCCCAGGACAGCCCTCCATAACACAGCTATCCAGCAAAAATCATTGGCGGTGTTGCGCTGGAGAACCCTGCCCCAGTGGTTTTCAAACGTGGGCCTGATGCTTACTTAGCATCAGAAAAGTAGTAGAACTAGGTGATCTTTATAACCCTTCCCTCCAGTGCTGAGATTCTGAGATTCAGTTATTTCAGCTTTGGGTTAAGTCGATCTTACCAATGGCATGAAGGGCAAACAGCTGATCAAAGGGCTTGATGGCAGAGTGCTTGCTGGAGCCGTTAACAAGCACCGCAAGCCAGTCACGCCCTCTGCTGCGGATAAAAGTCCTGGGAAACCAGCATGCGATATTTCTCCCCAGTGAGTCTTTGCTGTATTCTTGGCATTCTTCAGTCCAAGAGCCATACCTAAATTGGAACACTCATGAGTTTTATGAGGTTGCAGGAAACAACCATTTGCCTAAGTAAAAATAGGTACAGTACTAACCTATAGTAGAGAAAATACTGCGTGTCCTCAGGGGCATCTGTGCCAACAAGCCAGGTGCAGTGAAGGGAAACTTGGTATGGCCTTAAATGTGAATAATTATCTGCTGTAGTGTTTGTGGTGCAAGTTAAATTCACAATTGAGGTTCCAGGAGACCCTAGGTAGTCAAAAATAAAAAAGAACAAAACATTGCCCTGGCAAACTCTGAATTTCATGCTTCTTTTGGAACTATAGTGATGTGAACATCTTATTCACCACCAAAATATAATCATCTTCACATTTTTTTTTCCCTTGAGACAGAGCCTCACTCTGTCACCCAGGCTGCAGTGCAGTGGTGTGATCTCGGCTCACTGCAACCTCTGCCTCCTGGGTTGGAGCGATTCTCATGCCTTGGCCTCCCAAGTAGCTGGGATGACAGGTGTGCACCACCACACCCAGCTAATTTTTGTATTTTTAGTAGAGATGGGGTTTCACCATGTTGGCCAGGCTGGTCTTGAACTCCTGACCTCAAGTGATCTACCCACTTCAGCCTCCTAAAATGCTGAAATTACAGGCATGAGCCACCATGCCCAGCCATCATCACATATTTCTAGAAACCTACTAACTACAAAAGGCCAACTTACTGGAGATATGGAATTAGAATTATAAAGTCCCCATTTCTGATATTAAACAGCTTCCCAGCTATTTTGTTTGGGGCTTGGGGGTCATGTTTGTGCAATAAATGTGACAAAGTTCAAGAGAAGTACAATATATTGTCGTTTAGAGGTTGATGTCCAGCAACTTTGGTGCTCTAATGCCACATTTGTTAATAACTAGCTGTGAGACATTGACCCCCACTTTTCTGGGCTCTGTATTTTCAACTGTAAAGGAGAGGGTTGGTACAGGAAGGTCTTGAGTATCCCTTTCCATCCTAGAATTGTGTGATTCATTAGGTTGTATCCAAATGCTTCATGAATTACATAGGTTGCTGCTCAGAAGAAATGAGTTTTGACAACACTGCAAGATAATATCACTACTTTGCAGACCTGATGCACATTAGCATGTTAAAGTCCTCTTTAATATACTAGGACTTTAAGAAAACCTTGAATTGGCCAGGCACAGTGCTCATGCCTATAATCCTAGCACTCTGGGAAGCCAAGGCTGGTGGATATCTCTTGAGCCCGGGAGTTTGAGACCAGCCTAGGCAACATGGTGAAACCTCGTCTTTACAAAAAATATAAAAATTAGCCAGGCGTGGTAGCATGCACCTGTAGTCCCAGCACTTTGGGAGGCTGAGGCGGGCAGATTGCTTGAGCTCAGGAGTTTGAAACAAGCCTGGGTAACATGGTGAAACCCCAACTCTGCAAAACATACAAAAATTAGCCAGCTGTGGTGGCATGTGCCTGTAGTTCCAGCTACTTGGAAAATTGAGGTGGGAGGATCACTTGAGCTGGCGAGGTCGAGGCTGCAATGAACCAAGATCATGCCACTACACTTTAGCCTGGGCAACAGAGTGAGACCCTGTCTCAAAAAACCAAAAGAAAACCTTCAGATTTTATTTTATTTATTATTATCATTATTACTTGGAAACAGAGTCATTCTGTCGCCCAGACTACAGTGCAGTGGCATGATCTCAGCTCACTGGCAACCTCCCCCTCCCGGGTTCAAGCAGTTCTCCTGCCTCAGCCTCCCGAGTGCTTGGGATTACAGGCACGTGCCACCACACTCAGCTAATTTTTGTATTTTTAGTAGAGACTGGGTTTCACCACGTTGGCCAGGCTGGTCTCGATCTCTTGGCCTCAAGCCATCCACCTACCTCGGCCTCCCAGAGTGCTGGGATTACAAGCGTGAGCCACCGCACCCAGCCAAGATTTTAAATGCAAACTTATTTATGGTTGCTTCATTAAGTCTTTCTCAAATTATGTGACTAGAAAGGCTTGTTTTCATTTCAACCTCTCGTTGCTGTATTAACTGTTGGTCTTTAAAATACACTGTGGGAAACACTGCTCTTGGTGGTGGTTGCTCAGAGAAGGAAACAAGCTCTTGCACCCAGGCCAGGAAGGACCGCATCCAAGTGGGAGCCTTGAGAGATAGAGGGGTTCTTTTGGTCGTAGCTTAAGTCAGCTGTAGATCATTTTTATCACTGTCAGCCAGTGTCTTTCAAGAAGCAGAGGGAGAAGATGATGAGAGAGAGCGTCTTATTACCTGTAGAGAAGTTAAAGATGGATTTCTTCTTTATATCTGTGCTTTTGTACAGATAAAAGATATATCTGTACTTTTGCTTTTGCACAGATAAAAAGAAGAAATATCTCGAAGCAAATAGACTTATTCAGTACATGTATATATTCATATATTAGGTTGATGAAAAAGTAATTGTGATTTTGGCCATTACTTTTGCACTAACCTAATATGTATTTGTCCATGCACCAAATAACCAGAAAGTCCATGCCCAAGTACAGTTTAGAGATCTATAGAGACTCTTTGTCTTATAGTTCTCATCCAAGGAATCATTTTACATGAATTCCACTTGGTTCAAAACATAAATAATTTTTATTAGTGTCATCCTATATTAGTGTGCTCAGAGGATAATTAGAATTGTAGAAATGTAAGCTGCAAAGTGCCTTATAGGTAAAATCCAGTTATTCATTATAGAAAGGGGGAATCATGGTTTGATGTAAGCCACATACAATAACCCATCTCTGTGATCCTGTATCTGCCTTGGATTAGTCTCTGTACTTGGGATCAAGCCCACGCAAATTGGCTGGTATGTGGTCTAGACAAGTTATAACAAGTAACTGGGGCCGGACACGGTGGCTCACGTCTGTAATCCCAGCACTTTGGGAGGCTGAGGTGGGTGGATGGCTTGAGCCCAGAAGATCGATACCAGCCTGGCCAACATGATAAAACCCCATCTCATTAATAATAATAATAATAATAATAGTACAAAAATTAGTCTAGCATGGAGGTGCACGCCTATAATCCCAGCTACTCGGGAGGCTGTGACATGAGAACCTCTTGAACCCAGGAGGCAGAGGTTGCAGTGAGTCGAGAACACACTGCTGCACTTCAGCCTGGGCAACAGAGGGAGACTACCCAAAAAAAATAAATAAATAAATAAAATAAAATAAAATAAATAAATAAATAAAAAGGTAAATGAGAAGATCTTTATGATTCTGTTTTAAGTTACCAACACAATTCAGGTGGCATGGTCTTTCCAGCTGGCGATATGACAGGATAATTGTTCGAAAATTACCCGTGAGCTCAACTGAGCAAGGCAATTGTTATTGGGTGCACCCATATGCCCCAGGACTTGGTAGCCTGCTTCTCCTCTTTTCTCTCCCCTATTGTGTGTGTGCACTTAAGTGTGTGATCAGAAGTATTACTGATTCTAAGTATCAGAAACACCAACTTTCCACTGGAGGTCAATTCACAGACGGTGGCTATTTCTGCAAGAATGTGCCAGATGGAATTCAGTTGGTTGTGATAAGTGGCAGCAGCCTTAGTTAGGATGTTGTTGATACGGGAGAGTACTTGACAAGAACAGGTGACTGACTAAAGAAAAGTGAGTTAGTGTTAATTTTTCTGCTTTTCCATATTTGCAAAGTCCAAAACATACAAACTGGACTTTTGGAGGCCTGCTTTACCTGGTGGGGCATGAAGTTCAGCAGAAGCCCAGCTGCTGGCCAGGAGTGAGTGGTCGTTCTGCAGGATGGTCCGCACACTTGCTGAAAATCCTTTGTGGAGGATGGTTACACATTTGCTTTCAGTGATTCTGGTTTCATACTAAAAATAAAACCCACAAGTCTTGATACATAAAAGAGAACTAGCCTTAAGAGAGCTATTTTAATCAAATATGCATTTTCTTCTACTTTTTAAATGACGAGTAAGATGCAATGAAATAGTTTTGCTAGAAAAAAAGTCAAAACAAAACTATTGTAATAACAACATAGTAACCTCTCAATGACACATGAACACATTATTCTTGTAAAAACAAACTAAATATTACAGTTAAACTGAAGTTCCCTTTGACCACCATCTCCCCAGAGGTCAATGTTTGACATAAAATTCTCTAGAATTCCATATTGACTGAAAAATAGTTAATATGAATCACTTCTCCCTTTGTTTGACTTTATTACACACCTAATATGTAGCAGGTGCCTGAATGTAGCCCCGAGGTAAAATTGAGGCTCTGAGAAGCTAAATGACTTGTCCCAGGTTGCAAAGGCAGGAAGTGGATGAACTGGGATTCGAACTTGGTTTCCCTGACTCTCCATTCTGTGTGCTGTCTTCTTGTTTTGCTAGGCTACTGTCTCCTGTTCTGTTGGTGATTTTAGGGGAAACAGAAAACCAGTATCCAATCCATTGTACCTAAAAAGTTACTAAACATTCTTCCTTAAGGGAAAGAATCATACAAAATTTAAAATATTCTGCGATGCTGTTTAACACTGAACAATACACCCAGCACTAG